GCATGAGGTGCCACCATTTCAGATGTTGCCAATATCGGGGCTAAGGCAGAATATCTGAGGATCTCATAGGGTGAATAGCTTTATCCACTTGTCTCCTCATTGGCTTAGGAACAATGTCTTACAAGCTAAAGTAACTTGTACTAATTCCTGTCATACTGTAAACTACACCTGGAAATGACGCCACCACCAGACACATATTCCCCTCCCCTCCCTTGTCCACCTTCCATGAGGACCGTTCCCTCCGGGACACATTGGTCCACTCTTCTTTCACCCCAAACACCCTCCCCCACAGCCCTACTGCACCTTCCCCTGCAACCAGCAAAGGTGTAACACCTGCCCATTTACTCCCCGCTCCCCACTATCCAAGGGCCCAAACATACCTTCCAGGTGAAACAACACTTCACCTGCACTTCCCAGAATCTAGCCTACTGCATTCACTGCTCTCAATGGTCTCCTCTACACTGGGGAAACAAAGCATAGACTGGGTGATATCTATATTCTACTCGCAAAAAAGACACTGAGCTACCTGTTGCTTGCCACTTTAATAGACTGCCCTGTTCCCTGGCCAACATGTCTGGCTTTGGCTTGCTGCAGTGTTCCAGCGAAGCTCAACACAAGATGGAAGAGCAACACCTCATTTTCCACTTGGGGACCCTGCAGCCCTCCGGACTCAATAACGAGTTCAATAATCTTAGGGCCTAAACTCTCCCATGTCCTCGCCCCTACTCCACACACTAAACCTTGTTATCACATAGCCTGCCATTACACACTATCTATTGTTAGTCACTAACAGTTCCCATTAACAACTACTCACCCTCCTAGCCAGATCGTTATCTACTCCTTTTTCTGTCCAACTACTCTTCTCTCTCTTCGGGATCTATCCTATCGTTTACTCCCTATCCCATTCCCCTCCCGATTTTCTGCATATAAACCAACATTTTCCCAGCTACCATCAGTTCTGAGGAAGGGTCACTGGACCGGAAATGTTAACCCTGATTTTTTTCTTCACAGATGCTGCCAGACCTGCTGAGCTTTTCCAGTAACTTCTGTTTTTGGTCCTGAAAATGAGAGCTCACACTTGTTAAGGCTCAACAGAGGTTGATCCTCTAGCAATGTAAACCACTAGATCCTTACACCCAGTCAAAGTAAAGAGAGCTGATACCAACATTCTTCGACTGAGAGGTACCACAGTCAAAGCACAGCTTTATGTCAGGCAGAAGTCTTGTCCTGACAGACATAAATATTATTTCAAAATAATTCTGTATCGCAACAAAACAACTTGCAATTACATAACACCTTTAACCTGGAAAAGTGTCCTGAGGTCCTTCACAGGGACATAACTGAAAAACCAACATGAAATCAAAGATGAGACTATAAGAGATGAAAGCAAAATTATTGTCAAAGACATGTGGTAATAAGGAGGGTCTTTTAAGATGGTTTTATGAATGGAATTTCTAGAAAGATTTAGTGATAAAACAGCATTGTGGGTCTAAACAGCTCAAGACTAAGATCTGGCCAATAGTGAGTTGATGAAAGGAAATATGTACAAGATACAATTCAGAGAAACTAATTGTTTGACAGGTATTACATAAAGAAAATACCACTATTCAGAGAATTAAACCCAAGGATAAGAACTTAAGATAAATTAACTGGAGCAGGCAACAAATTGTAGATGAATGTGGAATGGTGCACCAGCTGATTAAGTGCATAATGGGAGTACAGGAAGTACAGTATGGTAAGTTTCTAGAGTAGGAAGAATGGATGTGTGTCAGCAAAGCTTTGGATTAGTTGAGTATAAAGATGGAAAAGACATCTATGAAGGTTTCAACAACAGATAGGCTGAAGTAAAAAGCAAGTGAGATTACGGAGATCAATGTAAGCAGACTTTGTGAAACAGAAGACATGGAATCAGATAACAAGGTGTAGAGCTGGATG